AAAAAAAAAAAAAAAAAAAAAAAAAAAAAGCTGAAACTTTAAGGCAGCAGCATCTTCCCTGAATAATTATAACCTCATGGAAGTTCTTTTCTACGTGATGAATTTTATAATTAAAGGAGGCACATTCAGGTGAAGGTATCTTCTGTGAAATCATTCATACTCTTACATGGTAATGGTTGTATGATACATGATGAAAGGGTGGCTTGGGGGATATGCCATTGAATTCTGCTGACCGTAATTGCAATTAGCCAGTAGTAGTCACCTGTTGAATATGAATGAGATGTAAATAACATCTTGAATTAATTTAAATGCAAGTATATTGATGAAATGGGGAAAAAAACTGACTTCAATTACTGTAGAAAACAGGAGGATAAATGACCCACATTTAGAAGAAATGTGTTGGTGAGCAAGGAAGTAAGTAAGCTGGCCTAAAAATAAAAAGGGCTGTGCAAACAGTGTTTTTGACTTCACTTTCTAGTTGTATGTTAACTGTTCATGGCTGGTCAGTGTAAATCATTTTATTCTTCAAAAAACACTGAAATGGTAAAGCAAATGAGGACACTGGGAAGTCCCTTCTTTTGATATCTGAGGTGTTTTCACATATATCAGTTGGGCGTCTCACATGTATTCGTTAGGTAGTTCAGTACTATTTCAAAATAATTTTGACATCAAGAATCACTTGATACGTAATTGGTCAACAAGGACTGCATTTGGGACAATTAGATTCGGATGAATCTGTCTGGCATCTCAACTAATAGAAATACTTTCTATGCAGGCTTTTCATCTCTCTCTCTCTGTCTGCATCGCCCTGAAGTTCTTCTGCGCTGTTGCTGGTAGTAACAGGAGGAACAGGCTGTTCTAGCAACTTGCTGATGTGGGGTTTATCTACCTCCTAGTTGAGTGACTCTAAAACTTCCATAGGCATGAGGATTGCTTGGGATAGGGGTGGTGCTTGTTGTGAATCATTGCAGACTCCTGGGCCACCCTCAGAGAGATTGATTCAACACATTCTTGGATAGGAATCTCATCATATGCATTTAAAATGAACAGTTTTTCTCCAGGCCCCTACCTCCATTCTGATGCCTCTGAGAAATCCTGCTCCCTACTCTGCTTTCTCTACATTTGTAACCTTCTGAACACTTTCTCACATTTTGACCAACTTAAGAAAACAAGTTAGGGAGCCCCTATATATTGCATTACTTTTGTTCCGTTTGTAATTTAGTAAGAAACATGTCTCCCTCTTTCCCATAGCATCAGTCAACTGTAAGAAGTATAATATTCTTATACCTTTAGTTAAGGGCATAGTATAGTATAGGTTTAGCATGGGTTGTGTAGCAAGGAGCTACAAAAACCACTCCCACCAATTCAGGATGAGGACTTTAGTATTTCTTTTCTTTTTTTTTTTTTTTATTTTTATAAATATA